CCACAAGTCTAATCGGATTCTAGGGTCTTAAGAGGGGTGGGGCAGTAACTTGGAGAGTTTGCTGCCTTGACCCAGAGTAACCCAGCACCCCAGAACAGACCTCCCCCTACTCTACCTTACTGTAGAGGCACAGTGGAGTACTGGTGAAGGACAAGGTGGGGCATCCTGTCCTCCACCACTAGGGGAGCCACTGCCTTCGGGAAGCAGGAGTGGGTGGCCCCATGTGAATGTAACCCTCAAATGAGTTAATGAGGCCCTTCCTTGCTAATTAGCAGGTCCACATGACAGAAACCTGAAAAGGCCAGTTTGTCCCAGCAAGCCCCAGCAGGCCTGACCAGGGCACCAGAGCGAGGCCTTTGTCCAAGGACAGAGGGGACACTAAAGGTTAGGCTAGGGGGGAGGGGCCCTGGGGTGAAGAGCCACAGAACAGAGGAGGAGGGAACTGAAGGGGAGGAGCCCTGGGGCAGGCAGCTCAAAGGACCCCCAGTGTTGGGGCTGAAGGGGGAACGGCACAGCAAACAGGGCCCTCTACTTCCTGGCTAGGATTTGCTGCTTAGTACAACAGCAGGATGACTTTACCTGGAATTTGCTAGAAACTCTCCCCACCTTGTCCTACAAAATCAGAATCTGATCTTAGCAAATACCAGGACGTTGTTTTCTCTTTGATGTCTGAGTTGCCCGCAGAGCAAGGACTTTGAGCCACTGAACCAACCTGAGCCTACAGCGTGTGTTCCTCAGTTGAGAGGGCAGGTGGCTCTTAGCACAGAGCCTGGTTCAGGGAATGGTCACCAGTAAGAATGATATTGTTATTATTAATTTATTGGCCAGGAGGGAAAGGGCACCGTGTAGCTGGTCTGCAGGGTCAAGGGAGGGCCTGCTTTTTGGACGTGAGCTATGGCAGTGAGAGGTGCTTATGTAAAGGGGCATTGGTGAAGGCGTGTGTGTGTGTGTGTGTGTGTGTGTGTGTGTGGTGTGTACACTGAACCACCGGCAAACCACAGCACACCTCCAGGGGACAAGAGTAAATAAACGTCTCCTTTACACCCCTGTAAGGCACAGGTCAGCCTTCTGAAGCTGGTGCTAGCTCAGCCCTAGCAGGAAATCGGGGCTCAGCTCTGGGGGTTCATGGTTTCCCAGCCTTTAGCCTGGCCTGAGCTACAAAATCAGGGGACCTCAGGAATAGGAATGCCAGAACCAGTGGCCACTCTAGGGAACACTGAGTTTTCCTGATAAGGAGCTGGCCATATCCCATACACATTTATTTTCAACCTACTGTACACACTGCAGGGAGTCAAAGGAGGAGAACAGCCTAGTTCCATGTGGGAAGGAAAGCCTGGGAGTCTCAAATCATTCTACACAGGAGAGTCACCTGGGAGCTGGTTAAAGACCTAGAGCCTGGGCCCAGTGACTCTGACTTGTGTGACCGAGGTGAGACCCCAGGAATCTGCATTTCAAATAAGAGTCCTAGTGGTTGTGGCAAGGTGATTTCCATTGGATAAAAGAGGGCAACGAACAGAGTACCCCATGGCTGGGGTGCCAAGCAGCGACCAGAGATAAAGATCCTCAATGAATCCAAGAGCCCAGGGAGCAGAGCAGAGCCACCGGGTGGCTTTGTCTCCGCAGCAGCTCAGTCCCTTATCAGGGATTTTCAAAGATCCACATCTCTGCTTTCTCATGCACTTAAAGGACAATTGTGTGTCCTTTCAAGGCCCCGGTTTGGGCTGGGGGAGGGCAGAAGGCTTAATTACAATTGCAATTGCTTTCAGCAAGAAGTCCTTCTAATTACTGGAACACATGTTAGGGAAGTTCTTTAAAGGAAAATGTAGCTGTCACCACCTTCGCATGACTGTTTGCATTTTACCCGTGGCACCCAGACTACCCTTGTGCAAACAGATTGTTACACAGCTGTAGCCACACACCAAGCAGTTACTCCTTAATTCCCCTATACACGTCTATGGTGATGTCCCCTCTTCGTTCTCCACCTATTTTCCAAGAGCTGGACACCAGGGACATCTCATTCCAGGCCTAGGAGGATTCAGGATCCCTATGGAACTCAAACCGCCGCCCTTCTGAAACCCGAAGATGGCCTCCTCATGCCGACTTTTTCTGGCATACAGCCATGTCAGGAAGAGGGGCTGAAGCTGACAGGGGCAGGCAGGGCTCAAAGCTGGGAATGACCTGATAATAGGAATCGCCTTTTAGAGCAGGACTGGCAAATCTGTAAAGGGCAGGCAGTAACTATTCAGGCTTTGTGGGCCATATAATCTCTTGCAGGGACTCGACTTGGACACTGGGGCAATTTTCTTTTTAGTGCTCTTTGAAGCTGTCACATACACGGCCTCGGGCAGCCCTCCTCTAGGTGACCTGGACACCATCCCCATTGAAGAGAAGAAAAACTGAGGTTCAGAGTGTGGCTAGCCCCACATTATTGACAAAGGCAGAAGCCTAAGGCAGGATTGGCATTTCCATCCCATTCCAGAATCCCTAACTCCAGTCCCTCCCCTCCCTAACTCCAAGTACAAGGAGGAAGGCTTCTGCTGTTCCAGCTGGCACTCCAGGGAACAGCCCACAACATGGGGAGCCGGCCTGCTGAGCCTTCCCTGTTTCCCACCCCACCATGTGCAGGCTCGCCTGGCTGAGTCAGCTGGAGACTCAGCCTTGCCCTGGGGACAGGGAGGAACAGTCCCCTGGGCTCCAGCCCTGCCCAGACAGGTGAAGGCAGCAGCTGGCGGGAGGTGCACCACGTCCCTCTTCTCTCACTGGAGTCTCCCACCAGTGGACAACTCAGCCCAGGGAAAAATGGAGAGGAAGTACCCCAGAGGCCCCTCTGAGGTCTCCCAGTGGGGGATAAGTGTGTGTGTGGGGCTATTCTTGAGGCAGAAGCCCCTCAGGTCAAGTTCACCCTTCTTCCATAGAGGGAGGTCAGCAAGTTGGCTAAGAGTATGGCCTCTGCCTAGGTTCCAAGGTTGGCTCTGCCTTACAAGGAAGCCTCTGGGGTAAGGGCAGCGTTCTCAAACTGCATTGTGGTGGTAGTTACAGGAGTCTACTAAAAATCATTGAATTGAGTCAGGCTTGGTGGCGCATGCCTGTAACCCCAGTAGCGCGGAAGGCTGAGGCAGGAGGATCAAAGGAGCCCAAAGCCAGTCTCATTAACTTAGTGAGGCCCTAACCAACTTACAAGACCCTACCTCAAAATATAAAAAGGACTAGAGAAGTGGCTCAGTGGTTTCAATCCCTTATACCAGGGGGGAAAAATCATTGAATTGTACTTAGGAAGATCCTAGCTCCACCATTTAAAGATATGTGATCTTGGGTATGTTATGTAACCTCCCTGCGCCTGTCTTTAATCTGTCAAACAGGAATGCTAATAATAGTACCTGACTCTAGAGGAAAAGTCAACCAATCAATGACACAACAATTTTACTGTTTTTGTTTGTTTGTTTGTTGTGGAACTGGAGATTTAACCCAGGGGCTATGCCCCCAGCCCTTCTTCATTTTCTTTGTGAGGCAGGTTCTCACTAAGTTGCTGAGACTGGCCTCAAATATGAAATCCTCCTGCCTCAGCCTCCCAAGTTACTGGAATAGCATGGTGTGCCTCACCATGCCACCATGCAACAGAATGGTATCAGGATGGGACCTTGTACCTAAGAATGGATCGATAAATGTTTGCTATGGAATGTCTTCATTCAGGCCAGGAGAGCTGTTTAGGCCTCATAGAGTGACATAGGCCAGCACACAGTCTCTGTAAGTTCTTAAGCCATGGCTCCAACTCATGGGGGCCTTCCTCATGCCAGGAATGTCCTTCCTTCTCACTCAAATGCTAGATTCAGTCAGAAGCTACCTCTTTTTTTCTGTGCCTCATACACTTAAGAATTCCTTACAGAGCCACATGGTTAGCTCTGTTCACCCACTGATCTGAGATCCTCGGGCCAGGGATCCCCAGCTCCTGTCCACCCTGCCTTGTATCTTGACCCTGGGTGTTGAACTGAATCCATAGCAGGGGCCCAGGCTGGTGAGACCCTCTAAGGGACCCACACAGTGGTCATAAAGGTCAGTGAAGATAGCGTGGTTATGGTGAAGCTAAGGAGATGATGGGTGACCCTGTTTTGTCCCCTTCCCTGGACCCAGATCCACAAATCATACATAAGAAACAAATTCTTGTCCCTCTCCTCTGACTTCCCTCCAGTTGTAGAGGGTACAAACTTCATAACAAGGTGACCCACAGCCAGACGGGAGGCTGCGCTGATATGGCCTACAAAGCCACACCACCCTGATTCAGGGACCAGCCACAACTGGGGTCAGGCCTCCACTGCCCCATCTCTGGCTCCTCAGACTGAGCCCACAGACAACCTAGGCCTCAGGTTGACCTGGCAAGCGCCAATAAATAACTTGGTGTCACAAATAGGCTGGTAACCTGTGAGTAGCGGCCAATGTTGATTTTTCCCAGGCTTCACCTACACAAAGCCAAACATGTGGTCACCCAGAGGGCAGCCCCTCTCTCTGCCTGGTGGACACTCTGGGCCAGGAGAGGCAGTACAGGAGCTGGGGAGGATGGAGGAAGTGGAAAGGAGGAGCCCTAGATAGGAGGAACATTCTGACTCAGAGGGAATGCGGATTTGGGGGTGGGGGATGGGGGAGACCCCACAAACCTCAGGAAATGCAAACACGAGCTCCGCCAAGGAACGGAAAAACACAAAACAAACAAAAAAACACCTCGAAGGAGGGCCTGGGGCCAAAGTGGCGCTGCGAAGTTGTCCCCTCTCTGCGGCCGGGTCCCTTCCTTCCCCGCTCCTCTCTCCCGCGGGGCTCTTTCCCTGATTGCCGGTGCGCACCTCCTCTTCCCAGCAGCTCCCCCTCGGCCAGCCGCAGGTTCCAACGTGTCCCTTCCCCTGCGCCCGGCCGGCTCCCGCCTTCCCAGCGCTCGGAGGAGCGGGAACCGGCGGGAGGCAGCGCTGCGGGCCACTCGCCTGCATCCCGCTCTGTCCCCAGGAATCACTTACCAAAATCCCTGGTCCCCTCCTCCGGGGCTTCTTGGGTGAAAATCCACGGGGGGTTGGTGGCGTAGAGGGAGGTGGCGGCGGGGTTGGCGTGCTTCTTCCCGAAGAGCTTGCTGAAGGTGCCCTGCACCGTCTGGTTCTTTTTCATGCTGCCGCAGGCCACGCGAGCCCCGGGGAAGGACCTGCCCTCCCTCGCCCTGCCCTGTCCCGGACTGAACTCCGCAAGGTCTCCCCAGGGGACTCTACTAGGCCATGTCCCCCGCCGTCCTCCCGGCCCGCGCACCGGGCGACAGGTGCTGCGGGCGCCGCCGCTCTCCTGGAAATGCGAGCTACCTGCACAGGTAAGAGGCTGCGGCTCAGAGCCGGCCCCGCCCCGCGGCCGCCACCACAGCAGCCGCCCCGCCGCCCAACTCCCCGGGCCACATTCCTTCCCGGCCTCCTTCTACAACAGGCCATTGTTGGCACGGCCCGGGTGGGCTGGGGACCTCGCCCAGCCCACGCCCTGCCTGGGAGAAGAGCCGCCCCCTCCCCAGGTCCCCTCCTGGGCCGCCTCCTCCACCGCCTCTTCCCTCTCTCTGGGGAAGCCAAGGCTGCGAAGGCTGCGAGCAAATTCCCTACTTCTGAAGGCGGTTAGTGACCAGGTCAGAATGCTCATTTTGGAAATAACTCTTGCATCCAACAGAAGGTAGGCTCCTGGCTAAAGCTAGCAAGTCAAAGCATCCTACAGGTCCTTAAAAATGTGGGCTTCTATGATGCAAGGATATGCCCAGAAGAAAAAAGAAAGCACAGAAAAACTAAAACAGCAAGCTGGTATTCCAATCTAGTAACAAAGATGGCAAATATCCTTATCGACAGGGCTCCAAAAACAGGGTAGGAGAACTAACTCTTGGCATTTTGTGGACATCAAATGCTTTTTCCCCATAGAGTTAGGTAAATACCAAAGATGGGTAGAATCCGTTTAGAATTCAGTTCACCCTCCAGGAAGACAAGCAATGGTCCTTTAAAGCACTTGGTATGCCATCCTGGCCAAGTCAAGGTGGCTGCCCACTGGAGAAGTTCCCATCAGATGAGCAGCTGGGAGACCCTGTGTGAAAGATGCTGAGAGAGGGAGTCAGGCCAAGGGGTCGGCATGCTGTTTTCTGGGCAGTAGGGGCAGGAGGCCTGGAGGGAGCCATCAAGTCTCACTGCCATCTGTTTCCCCTGGGGATAGCCCACTTCCCCTCACTTCCCCCAAGAGTGAACCAAAAGCATTTTGTCTTCTTTTCATTTTGCAAAATTCCTCCCCTAATACTTCAGCATACGTTGCCTAAGAACATTATCTTATATGATCGAACCTCTGTCACCCTCAGGAAACCTAACATTGATACACTATTGTCATCTAATACTCCACAGTAATAATTTCCCCATTGTGCCCCAAATGTCATTTTCGTTTATTTTTTTTCCAATCCACAGTCCAGATTCACATATTAACTTTGCTTGTCTCGTTGTTTTAGCATCTCAGTTGTTTTTCATGACAGTGACATTTCTGAAAAGACCCCTTCACTTGCTTCAGCATCAAGAGACCAAATGAGCCTGGCCTTCACGGCTTGTGGTTGTTATTGTCTTCCAGGTGCAAGGTGGGAAGGGACTGAGGAACAGATCAAGGGGACAGTAGCACTTTTTTTTTTTTTTAAGAGAGAGAGAGAGAGAGAGAGAGAGAGAGAGAGAATTTTAATATTTATTTTTTTGGTGGACACAACATCTTTGTATGTGGTGCTGAGGATCGAACCCAGGCCGTACACATGCCAGGCGAGCGGGCTACCGCTTGAGCCACACCCCCAGCCTGGGACAGTAGCATTTTGAAAACACCTGGGCTGAGGTTGTGGCTCAGTGGTAGAGTGCTCGCCTAGCATGTGCGAGGCCCTGGGTTCGATCCTCAGCACCACATAAAAATAAATAAATAAAATAAAGGTATTATGTCCAACTACAACTAGAAAATAAATATTAAAAAAAGAAAGAAAGAAAACACCTGTTATTATAGCTTGGATCTGGAATGTCCCTAAAGGTTGATGTGCTGAAGGCTTGGTCCCCAATGCAGCAGTGTTTAGAGGTAGGACCTTTGGAAGGTGACTGGATATGGGCTCTCACTTCCTCAGTGGATTAATCCATTGATGGATTCATAATTTGAATGGATTATTGGAAGGGGTTAGAAACTGTGGGAAGTGAGATCTAGTTGAAGGGAGTGGGTCCTTGGGAGCATGCCCTTGGGAACTATATGTCATCCCTGGGCCCTCTTCCTCTGCTTCCTGATGGCCCTGAGGTAAGTAGCTTTCCTCTACCATGCTCTTCCACCTCAATGCTCTGGCCCACCATAATGCCCACAGCAATGGAGCCAGCCAACTAGGCACTGAAACCTCTGAAACCATGAGCCAAAATATTTTTTTTCCTCCTTTAAAGTTTTTTTTTTTTTTTCCAGGTATTTTGTCACATAACAAAAAACTGACATCCATGTGTGTTTTGGTCAGACACACATCTGTGGTCAACTCTGTCCCACCCCACCCATTACCACAGCAGTCCTGGAAACCATCCCAGTCCATTCGGGAAATCTTTGTGGAAGAGTTCCCAGTGGCCTAGTGCTACACTGGGGTGGGGGTGGGGGGACCTGGGGATATAAGGAAATAAAATCAGTCCTGTTTCTGTCACAGAAGATCTTGGAGTCACACTGGGCAGACAAGGTTTATGAGATTCCAGGTGGCAGAGTGTGGATGACTAAGTGGAGGACTGTGATTGCTGTCACTAATGCATGCAGCAGGAACTCCGAGGTGGGGAGGTCAGCACGGGCTGGAGTAGCCCAGGAAGGCTTCTTAGAATGATTGAGACTGGAGCTGGCAAATGAAGGATGACAAGGATGTTAATGAGGAAGGAAAGAGCCCATCCTAGCGCCTGTACATATATCCATCCACCTTCTGTCTCCACATCATGGTTCCTCCCATTGCCCACATCAGTAAGGCACAAAGAACCCTAGATGCCCTGGTCATCACAACCCACCCAAGTGCCCTAGACACTCAGGCACCAGAAAGGGTTTCTTTCTCTCTCTCTCTCTTTCTTTCTTTTTCTTTTTCTTTCTTTCTTTTGTTTTGGAAACCCTGAGGCATGAGGTCCCTCCCACCCCAGGTAGCTCCTGAGCTCTTACACCCCACACCAGGCCCAGCAGAGTCATGGGCAAGTGGCTCCATTCACATGCAACCTCCACTGGATAACTAATATTCCAGAGGCACTTAACCACTGAACCACATCCCCTGCACTTTTTTTTGCATTTTATTTAGAGACAGGGTCTTGCTAAGTTGCTTAGAGCCTCGCTAAGTGGCTGAGGCTGGCTTTGAGTCTTCGATCTCCCTGCCTCAGCCTCCCAAACTGCTGGGATTAGAGGTGTGAGCCTCTAATCCTAGTATAATTAATATTCTTGAAAACAGCTGTGTGAACAGCTCTGGGTTGGAAAGAAGCCACAGGAATCAGAGACTTGGTTCCTGGGTTCCAGTTGCTGCAGTCTGTTTGGTAAGACAAGCAGAGAGTCATAGAAAGATGGAGAGTGGGGAGGTAAATGAGGAGGGGGGAAAAGGAGGAGGAGACTGACTGTAGAACAGAGCCTCGGAGATAAGAGCAAGAAGGGTGGGCTGCAGGATCAGGGGAGGGCTTGCAGGAGTTGTCTGCAGGGGCTTGGGAATTGGGGGTGGGAAGGAGGTCACAGCAAAGTTGCCCAGGGTATGGGGGGCTAGGAAAGACAGCTAGAAACATCATAAAGAACCAAATGTCCACCAAGAGGTGGCTGGTTAAATAAACTGTGGCACATTCACAGGATGGAATAATAATGTAAGTCTAAAAATAGATGAGTCAGCCAACTGAGTCAGTTATCTCCATGATGAACTGATAAACTGTTAACCAAACCATGTGTATAGTAGTGTCCTGCCATTTGTGTAAAAGCAGGAGGTGGGGCAGGGTATGTGCGGTCTTATTTGGTCTTATTTACTTGTTTTGGCACAGAGAAACTTTGGAAAGATAAACTAATAAAAGTGGCTGGGTACCATGTACACACCTATAATTCTACGGACTGGGGAGGCTGAGACAGGGGGTTGGCAAGTTTGAGGCCAACCTCAGCAACATAGTGAGACCCTGCTTTTAAGGACTGAGGGTGGGGCACAGTGGTGCACACCTGTAATCCCAGAGGCTCAGGAGGCTGAGGCAGAAGGATTGTATAGTTCAAAGCCAGCCTCAGCAATTTAGTGAGGCCTTAAGCAATTTAGCAAGACTCTGACTCAAAATAAAAAATAAAAAGGGCTGGGGATGTGGTTCAGTGGTTAAGTGCCCCTATTATTTAGAAAAATAAAATAAAAACAGAAAGGGCTGGGGATATAGCTCAGGGGCAGAGGATCCCTGAGCTCAATCCCTAATACCACTGAAATAAATAAAAAAACTACTGAAAGTGGTTATTTGGGGAAGGCTGGGGGAAAATTTTTTTTTAATTTCAAATATAATAAATACATTTCCTATTAAAAACTAAGGAAGGAATAACTAGTTTGGCCTGCAAGAGGCCTGCTGCCCAGTGTGGTCCTGAATCAACAGCATCTGTATCACCTGGGATCTCAGAAATGTGTAATCTCAGGCCCGTGCCAGACTGTGGGCCACCTCTCTGAGCCCATGTTCATCTCCAAATGAGCTATTAATTTAAGGTCATAATGAGACATAATGAATTGATGGATCACCCAACAGAGAAGCTGTGTTTTAATAAAGACCCCAGGATATTCAGGTGCACGTGAACATTTGAGAGGCTACCCCACAGACTAACAGGCCTGTAAGCATTTGAGGCCAAGTTCCCAGGGGCAGAGTCAGGCCTAATTCTCTGTCCAGCTCAGCACCAAGTGCTGTCACCACTCAGTCTCAACTCCTGTCATCTAATAACACCACACACCTGCTCCTCCAGTAAGAGAAACAATCAAATAACAGACAAAAGCCCAATCATATAATTAAACCTTTGCTCAGCGATTACTCATTAAACTCCGAGTGCCGACTCTACTGGTCAGCTCTGGAATGTGGGGTGGGATTGGGGCCTGGAAGTTGCTCTCTCCCGAGACCCAGTTATGCCTTTGTCATGTCGGTGGTCTTTCCTCCAACACAGCAGGGAGAGTGGAACCTGAGTGGAAAAGGTCAGGCAGAGACATCCTCAGGGACACCTTCACCCCTGGGTCTCTGCAGCTAACTCCAGGAGCAAGCATCAGCAGCTCATCACCCCAAAGCCCAGATGCTAACACACTGCAGACCGTCTTGCCCAGCGTCTTGTTCCCAGGCAGGACACATCCCAGATTAG